GCAACAAAATCTCACTAAATACATTGTCTGCCATTAAACTGGTGCCAGAACGAGCATGTGCTCAGGAATGGAAACCAGCTATGAAGCTGATTAAATGCAGTCAATGGTGAGCATGACTACAAAACACGTGACCCACATTGGGCAAACCTGCTGGTGGAAACCCTACCACAAAAAAAAAAAAAAAAAAAATTGAATAGAAATTTTTTGTGTTCCAAGCCAAATCAAGTCGAAATCTGAGAGTCAGTCCAGAACCACAAGTGGTCCTACGACTGGCAAATATCCTCCACCCCCACCAGGGGCTTCAGATATTTCTATAATCTTTTGGCAGGCATCCTACGTGCAGGCCCAAGCCTGGAGGCTTGGGGTTTGGATTCCTTCAAGTTTTGCCTACCCTCAGCCATATGGGTGCAGGAGCAAATTAGGGAAGAGGCTCCCATTTCCATAAAATGGGCTTTAAGCCCCAATACCTCAGCGGGTACTAAATACCTACCACAAAAATAGGTTAGTATAGCCCATCTGAATAAGACATCTAGTACTGCTCATTAAGTGCAGTCCCCCCTCACTACCGAGTTTGTCAAGTCATGGTGAGCCACAGTATTGCATACAGTGTGCCCAGAATCCCTCTGTTGCCCCCTTTCAGCCTCTCACACATGATTTGTGTGGCTCTGCCCTCCATAAGGTGAAGCTGGACCAAGTTGCCTTATGCCTCATCTGCATATACGTTTTGGAGCATCCTAGAACTTGTGATAAGATCACCTGATTCTAGTCATGAATGAGGGCTAATTAGCACATGGAGCCTTGGTTTGGGGGCAGGGGGATATCTGAAGTACACGGTGGGGTCAGTGTGGCTTGAAATGCTGTTGACTCTGGTGGGGCCCAGCCCAATGAATTATGTGGTAAATCATGAGCCTTTGACTTTGGACTAATATGATGTATAGCTGATATTACATATAAGTAGGTGCCAGTGTGCTGCTCAAAACTGTTTTTGCAGTACCTGTACTAAAACTTGCAGCCGTTTCAAAAAAGGTAACATGTCTTAATTCTGGATGAGTAAGTGTATGGGTACAGTATGCAAATTGCTACAGCCATGTTTACTTTTAAGGTTATTGTTTTAAAATTTGCTCTTCATTTTGTGTGCTCGGGGAGAGTAGGGTCTGACAGTAAAGAGAGAGGGAGGGGGCTGACAGGAGAAAAAGTTAGCAGGAAACAGAGAGCAAAGGGGCTCCATGAGCCATGAGACTTATTTTCTCTGCTGTAGCAGTGGGAGTGGGACAAATTCAAGGCAAACCTCCAATAATTAGATTCTATACCTGGAAAATAATAACAAATTTATACATTTTCCATAGATAGAATCTAATTATTGGGAGGGCATCTTAAAATCATGGCTGTCATCTATTTGAGTAAATATGGTAGTAACAAAACCCTAGTGAGCTCTGGGGGCAATTTTAACAATGGACATGGAAAGATTTGTCCATGCTAATGTACAAAATTTGAAGCAGTCTTTCTTCTCTCTCTCCCATGCATGTTTTATCATTGTGATTAATAAAGAACCAGGGGAGAAAAGAGGATGAATAAATGGGATTTGATGTGTGATAAAGGGCAACCCAGAAGTTGCTGAGTAAAATAAGAATGGGGAAGGTGAAAATTCAGGTCTTTGCTGGCTGTGCAAAACCCTTTTGTCTGACACAGAGAGATATTTAGTTTGATGCTACATTGATTAACTTCCTGCATCTGATATTCAATGGTTTTGAGATAATCCAGGGATTTATCCTTTTCTTGGCTCCTGTGTTGTTCTCTGTTCTTCCTCATTTGGCTCTTTTCCTCTCAAGCTGCCCAACATTTCTAAGGGTGAAGTTTTCAAGCTGAAAGGTTTCATAATGTGGTGATCTCCAAGACAGCTTGAAGGCCTGTGTTCATTCTGTACTGTCTGAGGCTAAGTTTAAGCTACTCCTTCCTACATGGGAGTGCCAAGAAGAAGGGGACAGAGCAAGGAGCATGCACCTCTTTGTGTGAAGCTGTGCAGTTCCCAAAAGTCTGTAGCATTCAGCAGCTGCAGAATTTCTCCAGCCAAAGTGGTGCAGGAGGTTTCTGGGACAGGTCACGTGGTCAAGGAAGGGGGAAGGCAGAAGGTCAGTGCATTACAGTATAGATGCTGCTGCTGCTTGCCCCTGCTGCCCTATGACTTGTTCAGTTTACTTCAGTTCCTGGTGGGAATAGGAGGCTCACTCATCATTGTCTTAAGTTCTGTGGCATGAATGTGCATGCATAGATACTCTGACATGGAATAGATCCTGAATTTCATTTGCTACCATCTGGGTTACAGGATATACTAAAGAAAATACTACGGAATTGGGCACTCGGGTTGAGGAAGGGGTGTTGCCCACTGGCTGCAGCAGAGGACTGAGGATCAGCAGTCCTGGGTTTTGTTCTCTGACCCTGCTGTGGCCTTGCTGTGACTATGAGCCCTTGAACAATCATATTGTTTGTCTACATGCTGTACTCCCATTGCCTTCAATGGGTGCTTGAGGTACCTGCTGTACATAGGAGCTTTATATTAAGGTTTCATAGTTTGCAAAAATGCTTTGTCAGGAAAGATACTGTATTTGAAGGGGCCCATTCTTGGGTCCAGCTGAGGTAGGTTTGAAGTAGCATCCAAGAAGGGGAAGAAGATGCATCCTGATGCTGCTGCTCCACTCCCTTGATTCTGAGACTGATAGCTTTGCTATAACTTGAAGTACCCTAAAGGGTTGCTCTGAGTTCCACCACCATGAACCATTACCTTGGTCCGGGGTAGTCTGAAAATACTGCTCTCTCTCCCTTTAGCCCCACCATTAATACAATTAACACTAGCCCTGTTACGATTGTTACAACTTGAGGATCTGGCTTTTAATGTACAGATCACTTACGTTTGAAACACTGGACGTGGGACTGGTTCTGGTGCCAAAGAAAGGTGTAGAATAGAGCAGCAAGAGTAATAGTGATTGGTCTCGGGAGTGTGAGTTATGAAACCAGTTAAAGGAGTTGGGCTTAATCCTGGAAGAGAGGAGTTTACAGAAGGACCCATAAAACTTTTGAAAGGATGATAAAGCTTGTCAGTAGAGATGCATCTTTATGCACTTCAAAACTAGAAGACAGCATCTAAAAATATACTGGGATAAATTAAGTACTTGAGCAGCACCATATCAGGGAAAAGGGAATAAACACATCCAGCATCTTTGTGAACACTATATTCACTTAATGAAGTAATTAAAAAATAAAATCCTTCTGTCACTGCTGTTGTTTTGATTCTGTTGTCGAGAGGCAGCATTGCAGAGTTGTAGACATTGTGTTCACTTCAGCTGTCATCATATGACCCTTTCTTACAGGTGAGTCATTTCTGTACTTTAAAATAAGCATTCTGTATATTCTGGCTGGCTTGCATACCTCTTCCTTACTACAGTGCACTGAAGAAAATAGCAATAGTTTATGTCAACTGTTTAATTCCTGCATAAAAGTTCTGTAGGAGAAATCGCATAAGCTTGGGTGTGCAAAAAATCACATTTAGTAGGCAATATTGTAAACTACAAGCTAAGCTTTGTGTGCACGAGAGTTGGAGCATCTGTTCCAATGAATTGTTCAGGGCTGCAGTGCAAGAAGAGTGCAGTCTTAAAAAAAAAAAAAAAAAAAAAAGAAAAAATCTGTCATTTCAGTTCAATTCTGAAGCCAGGGTGGGAGATATTTCATTACAAGTGCATCTGACACCAAATTAGAACAATTGATTCTCCCAAAGAGCAAGCAGGGCATGTAGAAATGCCCATATTTTACATTAGTTACCATTGCTACTTAATCAAGTACTTTATTTCATCCCGTTGTGGTATATCTCATTTCCTGGACATCCACATTGCAAGAACAAAAATGCAAAAAGCCCTCTATAATAGGTTTCCTGTCATCCCTGTCCACATCGAAGCAAGAAGTGTTACACAAACAAGTGCACGCTGATGTTGTTGTTAGTTATCTGGAAGTTCATTGTGGACAGTGAGAGCCTCCCTCTGCACCTCTAGCGTGAACCACTCCAGGACATGTTTCTTGGAACTGAGGTCAGGTAGTTTACCTCGTGCCTTCATAATGTACCGCTGTTTATCTAACTTAGTGCCATGTTCCTGCAACTCTTGTGTCAATCTTCTACATCCTGACAGCCTTTGCAGAGACTAGGATGCTGTTCTGTGTTGACCACTAATGAAGAGTAGATAAACGATCCATGCAACATGCATTCTCAGCCTCACTGCATCAAAGATGCCACCTTTAACATTCCCAGGCTCTGTCTGCTATAGGAGTCAAGTTTGAAGCGTGAGTGGTAGACGTCTGGGGCAAAGATGGTGTCTTTGTGTCTTTGCGCAGTACTTAATTTAGTGGGGCCCTGAGTCTGCTTCAGGCACCTTGGCACTCTGGTCATTTTAACACTAAATGGGCCAGTGCTTCATTGTGATCAATCCAATACCAAAGAGGAAAGACGTTTATATGAGTCAGACACTTGACAGGGAAATGAGATGTGAGGGTTATTCTTGGCTCTGCCACCAGTTTCCTATATGATCTTAGGCATGTCCCTTGCTTCTTCCTATATCACTAAGATGTGACTGTTAATGGTACCTTATTTCATATGGCTGTTTCAAGTTTTACCTTACCTGTATAGTGCTCCATGATCCTATGAAAAGTGCTCATTAGTTCCATATATGTCCTGTGATTATTCAGTCTTATACTAACTGTAGACGAGTTTACTACTGCTCATTTCTCTTCAGGGTTTATGGAGCTGATTTTCCTGCTGGTTGCTAGTAAGTTGAGATCCAACTAGTTCCATTTCATTTTATTGCTATATTTTGTGCAATTGGATGATTATAGTTCCTCTGTAGATTTGATTATATATCAGCATTCTAATCCAATTGGTGTCTGCTTCAAAATAAAACCAAATGTATGAGCAAACTTTTATTGTTTGATGAACTCATATTGGACTTTTATTCCCATAGATATCATTTCTAATCAAGCAGAGTTCTGAGTAAAGATTGTTGGGAGCAGCAGAAACATCATTCAAAGAAGCTATTAAATGTTAGGTCATCCACGTCAGCATTGATTCAACCTGGATTTAAACCACAGTAAGTGATGAACACAAACACACATTATTTAATTATTCTTTATTTAAACTGCTGCTCACTGAGAGAGTTGTATATCTCTTTTTCGTGAGGGGCTTATGGAGTTTAATTTTTCAAATCTCAGTGTCTGAACTTGGGCATCTGAATATTGGGTTTAGTCCATTTTGCAAATGCTGATATAAGCAACCTGATGAGGATTTAGATGCCTAACGGAATGATCAAAAGCCCATTGATGTCAAGTTATGGGAATCTCTCTGAGATTTAATAGGTTTTGGATCAAGCCTTAAAGGAGGATTTTTGTCTTAAGAGGGGCCCAAGTTTGTAAACTGGACTTGAGACTGTTGTTCATTTGAACTTCAGTTCTTTAGGATTCAGTTTGGTGTCCTAAGTTTCCAAACCCGTTGATTTTAAAATGAAATGCATCACTTAAAGTCTTGCATGCATTTCTAAGTATGTAAAATTTGGAAAAGTCAGTGGTCTGTATTTCCTTAGTTTCACCACTTCCCAAAGGCATATGCCCAGGTAATCATTTTCAACATAGCAAGACATTGAACTTGCTGAGGTGCTCTTTGGACTTACCCACCTGCTCTCCTAAAGCTTCTTCTCAAATATAGTAGACAAGTCCTAAATAATTCAGCTGCAAAATGGTGGGGAGCAGTAAAATATACAGCTGTTCTATGCCAAGATACAATAATGCATTAAAATTAATCAATTTTCCCCTGCTGAGGGACAATCATTTAGGAAACATTTTAATTGCCAAAACTGAATAATAGGATCAGTATTCTTGAGAAGGTTGGATTCACCCTACTGAGCACTGGAGAATCCTCTTTGCAGGAGCCTGCAAAAACATTGTTGTTTTCAAAGCGCTACCTTCAATCATAATGCTTCTAGGGAGAAATTTGATTTTTCAGTGCAGCTCTTAAGTAAAATGTCGAGTGGACAGCAGGCAGATGCATTAACTCTTCTGGGCAGTAGGCAAGACTTTGCATGCAACCTGAAATTAGAAATGTTTCTTTTAGAAGTGATTTTTGTTCTGTGCTGCTTTTATAATCAAAACACTTAAGGTCAGATCTTCAAACTGCACTATTTGGCTGCAGCTACAGTATTTTGCCTCTGAATGGCTGGAAGAACATAGTAATTGCTGGACTGGCATACCAGTTTAGGCTAAAAGATGCACTGTCTAATCTTCAGTAGCTTCAAAAGATCCTATAAAGACCAAATGTGCCAATAGCAGAAGTTCCTTTCTAATCTCAGGAGCTGATTGGGTAACCTGTGCTCCAAAGCCTTTAGGTTTGCTCTGAAGCATATAGGTTTATATTGCTTGCTTTTTCCTACTTACTAGAACTGTGACTGTTCTGATAATCTGTAATTGCATGTCCATAACACACACAAACTGGTATGAATAATCTGCCTGCATTTGTCTGTGAGATGGGGGGGCACACGGGTGCAGAATCATGCCCATTGATCTCCCCCCCCCCCCCCCCCCAAGTTCAGTCATTAAAACACTGAACAGGGAGGAACAAGAGACCCCCCAAGAACAGGACAGCAACAGGTTTTCTGGCATATATCTATGTGCATGGGCAGGTAGGTTTTAGACTTGAAATACACATTTATGATTGCACTCTTGTGTTCTAGTTTAGCTTTTCTCCCACTCGATTGCAACAAGTGCAAAGATTATAGTAGAACAAGAGTGGCCCAGCTGTGGCATAGATTCATAGATGTTAGGGTCGGAAGGGACCTTAATAGATCATCGAGTCCGACCCCCTGCATATGCAGGAAAGAGTGCTGGATCTAGATGACCCCATCTAGATATACTCATCTAACCTCCTCTTGAAGACCCCCAGGGTAGGGGGAGAGCACCACCTCCCTTGGGAGCCCATTCCAAACCTTGGCCACTCTAACTGTGAAGAAGTTCTTCCTAATGTCCAGTCTAAATCTGCTCTCTGCTAGCTTGTGGCCATTATTTCTTGTAACCCCCGGGGGCGCCTTGGTGAATAAATACTCACCAATTCCCTTCTGTGCCCCCGTGATGAACTTATAGGCAGCCATGAGGTCGCCTCTCAACCTTCTCTTGCGGAGGCTGAAAAGGTCCAG